TAGGTGATGGCTAGTAATACATTTTTATGTATTTAAAATAGTCTAAATACAGGGACATAAAGGTTGTTTCTATTTCTATTCTATTCATGTCATGAGAAGTGAATGCTGCATGCTGCAATCCTGCTGGGTTTCCTTACGTAGAAAGGTTTTTTAATTAATTTGAGTAATGAATTGAGTTTAATGCACTGATTAATGACTAAGATGAATTGTAATGTATGTATGCATTTACTTTTATTTTTTGTAAAGTCCCCTGTAATGGCATTTGTTGTGAAATGGTATTATATAAATACACTGAATTGAACTGCTGTTTCAAAGAAGAGTGATCAATGTAGACAGCTTTCAGGAACTTGTTTTTTTTTGTTGCTTTTGCAGCTTGGTAAAGCACATTTCACCAAATATTAGTTTCATTTTGAACAGGCATAACAGCATTAAATTTAGAGCTCTAACATACGTTTTCTGTTTTGAGTGATTTCAATAATTTTCATAATTTGGCTTCAGAATAAAAGTCTGGTGTAATTAAAATGCAAACTTTTATTTTTATAAATAAAATAAGTACCAAGCATATAACAAGATTTATATTCACTTCAGAATGGCAGGACTTTGAGTTAACACTTTCTGAATTAGCAAGATACTGAAGAACAAATTTCATTAGCAAGTCTTTAAAAATGTCAATATGTTTTAAAACAAGCAGAACATTCAGCAGGTCAAGTCCAGAGAACATATACAGTAGTAAAGAAGATTGAATACCAGCAGACCCCTCATACCACATTTAGTGTTTGTCTTATTACATGTCAAAGCCTATCTTTGTGGTGGTTGACATTTTCTGTTTCTGTTTTATTGCCTAGAAGTAATTGAATTAACATTTGTACCTCGAAAATCACCATGAAACCCCCCCAGATTGAAACGATATTTGAGCTGCTGATGATGCAAACTTAAGTTTTTACACTAATACAAACATGCAACAAGATTGGGTTTCAGTGTGATCTTTTGTTTATTTCAAGATGTTGCGCCACAGACATTTCAAAACTGCAGCATCTTACAAAGCAAAACATGAGCTGTTGACTGTTAGTATGTACCAAGAAGTGCTTAACAAGAACAGTTTTTAGAATCAACTCTTCAATAAATATATAAATAGAAGACAATGGTTTCCTTCAGTATTTCTGTAAATCCTGTGTTGTCACTTTTGTTCTGATGAACATGCACAAGAACTGGTCAGGTGTCGCTCCACTCTGCAACCTCAGCACCTATAGGGCAGTGCCGGCTGTCCCATCTTCACCGGGTGGACCAACCCCAGCAGCACTCTTTCCCCCCAGTCAAACAGCTTGTTCAGAGTAATGCTGGATGGCGATAACAGGCGTCGTTCCTTCTCTTCAGCTCTGCTGCACCCACCGAGACGGGGACTCCGCTCTGGGTGGGGGACGCTGTGGACTGGGGACGCTTTCGCCACTGATTGTGGGTGGCTGCTCGCCAAAGAGGGCGGGCAGAATCCCAAGGGCGTCAACGACAGCGTGAGGCTTTTACGCTTCTCCAGGAGAGAAGTACAACCTGATGGGAATTGTAGTTGTTTTGGTAGAGGTTCTCTGGACTCACAGAGGCTCGATGCTGAAGCGTCGCATGGCTTTTGGTTACATTGTTGGTTTTGACACACTGTCAGGTCAAAGGTCCAAGGTCCTCGCTTGTTACCACCGTCATCGAAGGGCGATTTTCTCATCTGAATTATTGAGTCTTCTGTGGTGGTGTGGACACAGTGGTTCCTGTTCTGACTGCACAGTAATCTGGTCCCTCTGTCCTTTGTGGACAGCTGCTGATTCTCCTGCTGCTGCCTGGTCATATCACAGCTGGATGCCTTCTGGTTCAGGATGCCTTGGAAGTGCTGCAGCTGACCCAGGAAGTTGAAGTTTGGGGAAATGGAGGGCCGACGCTCTTTTACAAATCTGATGAGGGGACAGAAAAGATTTGGGTTAGACTGATTGTTACTTTTTTACATGTGAGCTCCTGTAACCGTTCTGATGTATTTTGTATCTGATAAATCATCAGACTAATCCATAGAATAAATGCAATGACATCTGTGTAGAGTGAGAATCAGTCAGAATTTAGCTCATTAAATAAATCTGTGCAGATGAGAGTAGCTTCTATTTATTATCATAATGAATGTGGTAAAATATTTACACAATTAATATGACTTGTTGATCAGTTGTAAATAGTTATACAATAGTCAGAAATTAACTTTAGTAAAATATATTGTTTTGAAAACATTTATAGTGTTGCTCTTGTCATAAAGGGCAGTCATTGAAAAGTGCATAATTATAATATATAAGTCAATCAATCAATTAAATTTTATTTGTATAGCACATTTCAGTAGCAAGGTATTTCAAAGTGCTTTACATAATTAAAATAAAAACAGCATGTGATAAACGGTGAGAAAGAGAAATAAAAAGCTATAGAACTTTAGTTGAGACGCCGTCAAATGGGACTCCAACCCTTTGGACTTTAGTCAAAACGCTGTTTGACAAGGACTCTAACCTCTAGATATAGCTCTTTTAAAATGAATTTACATTTCTGTTATGTATATCATTAAAACGTAAACAGTGAGAAAGAGAAATAAAAAGAAATTAATAAATAGATAAGGAGAAAAGGTAAAAACATTAAACAGTGAGAAAGAGAGACATTTTGAAAAAGATTAAGTCAACCGATGAGCTGACAGAGAAGAGGACCTCCATATCTGAGGAGTGGGTCTCCCTCCTTCAAGATCCAACTCTCCACTCAAGGTACTCTTCCACAAAAATTGTGGAACATATTGAAAAAAAAAAAAAAATTAAATGTGGACAAAATTATGTTTTTATATAAATCCTACAACATCTTTTTAAGCCAACTATTGTACAAAGTTTGTGTTACATGCAGTGTTTATATATGGTTAAAAATCTAAACAAATGGCTGATTACATGACACTAACTGGTGAACTTTTGCATCTTAATGTAGAATATCCACTATAAGAAATGTATGCTACACCACTGGGCCAGAGCTACTGGTGGACCACATAATGACTCATATCTGCTCTGTAAATAACAGCATAATTGAAAAGGAAAAAAGCAGAAAAACGTAACTAGACAAACTGCGCAGAGCAGAGAATGGAGCTCCACTCAGCACGGTGTGGGCCGAGATTAGTCCAAATTCTGATTCAGTTCAGGAGATGCTGGCTAAATGCTTGACCTTAAAAACAGCTTTTTAAATCCACTGTTACTCCATGACAACCTATTTTACAGGACAATAAATTGGCTCAGAAACAATTGCTATAAACAATAATGTTTTCAGGCCATGTTCAAGTAATATATAGATAAAGGTATAATAATGCAAGTTTGCCTCTCAAAGACCAATAAACTTTAATTTTGTACAAACACTCCACTGGAAGATATTTGAAATATCCAAAATAAGACATAACAACCAAACAACAATAAATTAAAAGCAAATGAAATCTACACACAACCAAAGCAATGCTAAAAATGGATTATGAAGTTTCTCTAAACAAGATTACTCTTCAAAAAATATTAATAGTCTAATGGACATTATTAAGATCATTTTAATTTGATGCAATAAATTGCTTATTGCGATAGGTTTATACTGCATGAACATGAATAAAATGCACTCCAAAGTTTCTTCCAACAGCATAGATTTTTTTTTTTTTCCTTTTCTAAAATAAAATTCTCTGCTTACTTCAGCCCTTAATCCAAGGCAGCTGTGAATTTGTGAGCCAAATAAAATGTGTGCAATTTGCAAGCAGTACCTGTGTTAATTCTTAACTGTGTAAAGGTCTGGAAAAATGAGGATTTGAGGTCCTACCAACTCCCTATTAGTGGGTATTGTACCCAAGATCATATTAGTTTACTTTCTATTTTTGGGGGGTTATTTGCAGAGTTCATTTGTATGTTAATTATTTTGTTTGCTTTTTTTAAACCAGAACAAGAGCAACATTAGGAAACAATGGAAAGACCTTTGTGTGCTTGTTAAACTGGGATAAATAAACTGTGAAAACAACCTCCAAGTTTTTTTTGGAAACTGGACTTATTTTGCCTGCGAATGAAACATCACCAGAGTACAGCAGTGGCTCCTGGATTGAACTTCTGTAAGATGTTTGATTGTCACTATATTCCTCGTTGTCAGACAAAGGACATTTTTCAAAACCCATAGTTCAGGCATCTAAAGTAAGATTGTGATACTTAATTGAAGCTCAAGGCCTGCGTGCTGTACCTGTAGGCATGGTCCAGGTCCATTTCCAGGCTGTACATGATGTAGGCCACAGCCAGAGCCGGGGAGCGGGAGATTCCTGCAGCACAGTGCACCAACACCGAGGCCCCAGAGGACATGGCTGAATCTACACACACCACACCATGGCACATAACCCTCATACTGTATTAGCATGGCTAATCCAAATAGCGCAGTTAAGACTGAAGAACTAGTCAACTGCTAGCATTAACATGGTAGTACAACAAAGAAAACTATGAAGCAGATGTTTAGGGTGAGAAAGGTGGGGGGAGGCGGTCCTGACCTATGAAGCTGAGAGCCTGGGGGATCCAGGGCAGCAGGTCGTCCCACAGGGAGTCATCGATGGGAATGCGCAGGAATCTGGAGCGAGGCAGAAAAGATGGCTGGGGGCTGCAGCGGCTCACACTCAACACGTAGGAAATACCCAGAGAGGCCAGTCGATCCTGAACACACACATTTTCTAATATTACTCTTTCTGAACTTTAATTCAGAAAGCTGCTTCAGTGCATTTTCTTAATACATTCACATCATTCTCCATCAAAACATGAGAAATTCCAAAACACCAAGTTAGTGTAGATTTGGTGTCTCCTCTGTGTGTTTTTGTTTACTTGTTTTAAAATGTGGGGAGGCTGGAATTCTATATTTGTTGATTATTTATTTATTTATTTATTGCTAAAAATATATGTGGCGAAGATTAACATTTAGACACAATCCTGGTCTAATATAGCTGATTACTGACTTACTGTAAATACAACCCATAGAAGGAACAGATTAGAATCAGACTATTTTAGACATGGCATGTATAGCACCTTTTATATATACTGCAATTATGTATATGATTTTTATTTTTATTTTTATTTACTTCATGTAGGTCAGCAAAAATTTCACATGCAAAGCAATCAGCACAAGATGGAGTCAAGCAACTTTCAGCCGTAACAGTTTTGGCTTTAAAAAATTGAAATCAGATATGTATCATTATTAGTCTGATCATTTAAATCGGACAATGAGATCATGGAGGCGTGACCAGGGGTGAAAGTAGTTTTTTTTTTTTGTCATAGTACCCCCAAGAATTAAAAAATTTAAAACTACTTTCACCCCTGGTCACGCCTCCATGATCTCATTGTCCGAT